GAGGCGATCAGACAGTAGTTCACACATCGAAGCGAGCGATACTGCTATCCACCCGAGACTACTGGGGCCCCCATGCCTACAAAGAGCCCTTTCCCGCGGGTCCCCACGCAGGGCAGCCGCGGAGGGGCGCGGTGTGGCTGGCGGGCCGAGGCGTGCCCCGGGGCCCCGCCGCCCCCGCCCTGGCACGGCGGCCCTCCGCCCGCCGCCGCGGCTCCGGGAGCCCTGCCCTGGCACCCCGTACCTGGCCCCACCCTGGCCCTCTTGGCCGGGAACGGCCCGGCGAAGGAAAGGACGGGGAGGGTGTCGAGGACTAGGGCAGGAGGGCTCAGCCGTCCTCCAGCAACTGGGGAAGGAGGGAAAAGAGCTGAGCGGAGGCAACGCTGCCCTCGCTCGCACCGAGCTTTGCGAGTGGGGCCGCCAGGCACCGGTGGCGAAGGGGCCCCGAGAACCCCCAGCTGCGAGATGCTCCACGCCCTGGGCAGCTGGAGGAGCAACTGTGCGTGCTCTGCGGAGGGGTGAGGATTTTCGCTTTAGCCTTTGGTGGTCTCGCTGGTTGCCTTAGGTTCCCACGCCAGGGGGAGAGGTTTCGCCCGCTGTACTGAGGGGTTTCTCCCACCCTAACGAGATAACCAGGGCAGGGGGGATTTCCCACGGCGAGGAATTGTCCCCATGAGCCACAACAGAAGTTTCCCCCCCTCGCACACACCCAGAGCGCTCCGTGCCTAGGTAGCGCTCGCAGGGTGCGTCTCTGGGAGGACTCCTGCTTTCTTACACGCCCAAGCATGTGCTTTCCAGGCGGGAGCGGCTCCCAGCGCCCTGCCCGCGGCCGGCAGGGACACAAGTCCGCCCTACACTATCACTACGGAAACCTCCGCTCCCGGCGTAGGTGTGCTGGGCACATCTTCTATTCTGGGGTGCATGGGGAAACAGAGGGTGTATTACACCGACATGCACAAGCAATCAGATGAGGTTTCTATGAGCGCGTTCAGGGTGGGTCGAGAGGGGCGAGTTGCGGCAAGCTGCCTCGGTGGTGCCATTTTTCCAGGTGGTCATTTACGTCTCTCGATGAATGTGTTACTGATGGCCAGACGCGAAGAAAGCGCTCTGTCACAGATCTGCTCTTGCCACCTCTAACTCGGAGCTCTCTGGGAGCGGCTGGCTCCGCGGCAGGGCGGGCTGAACGCTGCGGGCAGGGCAGGGGCAGGGCCGCCTCCTCGGCGCTGGGAGCGGGGGCGGTAGGGCTGGGCAGGGGCTGCAGCCAGACGTGCACCCGTGAACTGATCCAGAGGGAGCACGGAGCACCTGATGGCTTTGTGTCAAAAAGTTACACCTAGAAAGCGTCTTTCTTGTTGAGAAAGAATTTGCGTGCGGTTTGCGTGGGACCCTTACCCTCTGCCCTTCGAGTTCTCCGAGCTTTGCCTGGCCGAACATATTTGATTCCCCTTGGGGAGGCACAGCAGCTCGTATGAAAAAGACATTGTTGTCTTTGGAGAGCCCTGTGCGCACTTTCAAAAGCTGATTCTTGAGTTCCCAGCCCCCGCAATCCAGTTGATGAGGAAACGCTCTGCGGTCTTGGTGGCACCGTTTCCATTGGGATTGGCACCATTTGATTGACAAAGTCTCCCATTCTTCCACCTCTCGAGTGTTATCAAAAGGATTGTGTGGGGTCAGAAGCTATTGAAGGGACGTCCGTGTAGCCGCATTTCTGCAAACACGGGGTGAAAACCGTGCCTTTCTCATGAAAATGCTTCCACCAGGCAGAACGCATCTCATCTTCCTTGCTCTCCTCCTTAGCATTTCTTTTTAACTCGAGTGTTTTACTAAGCAGCCTCACCAGGTAAACGAACATTTCGCTAAAGGCAGCCTAGGCAGGACTCTGTCGGGACGGCCACCCTCCCCGCAGCTGGGAGCAGCCATCTCTGGCAGACAAAAAAAGGCAGCCTAGGCAGGACTCTGTCGGGACGGCCACCCTCCCCGCAAGCTGGGAGTAGCCATCTCTGGCAGACAAAACTCTCCGGTGGAGGGCTTGGAAGAAAAGGGAGAGTGAAGGGAGACGACATCAGCGAAGTTTTCTCGCCCGTTGTCCATGGTCTGATTTGCCCCGTTGTAGCTCATTTGGGGCCGGAAAGCAGGTGCAGAGGCTGACCTGTTTCCTTTACACCGCGTCCATCTAGCCCGGCTAAAAGTAGCTAGACTTTTAGCCGGGTAGTACGCGCTAGTACGCGCGGGTAGTACTCCTAACTCAGCGGTCAGACGTGCCCGAGGGAGCCTCACCCGCTTCCCAGCAAAGGTGAACGAAGAGCTCTCGCATTAGCTTCCCTCTAGCAGACCCCACGCAGAGCCAAGGCCCGACTCGCTCGGGATAACCTAACCGAGCAATGTTTCGGAGGCGATTGAGCTGAGCTCAGTCGAGTGAGAGGATAAATAAGCTCTGGCAGGCGCAGCCGGCGGCCAAAGGGCGGCTCTGGCGGCGCTCCGGGGCCGGCGCAGGGCGGCTCCGCTCCGCTCCGTCCGGAGCCCCGCGCCCCGCTCCCGCCGCCGGGGCTGCTGCCGGGGCCTACCCGCTGCCCCACCTCGCACTCTTGTGGATGGGAGCGGAGTCTCTGCTCCTGCCCCACAAATTGCGAGGTCACTTGCCGCCTTTCGTCCCTGATTAAAACCGTCTGAGCCGTCGTTTTGGTGGATCGTGCAGTATTTAATTTTTTTTTCCTTCCATCCACCTCCTTCTTTTAAGGGCTCATGAAAGAGGCATGGGGATGGAGTATCTGGAATTGGGGGTGAAAAAAACCAACCACAAACCCCAAGCAATCAAACCACTAAGGCAAGGTCGAGTCTCTCTCTCTCTATGGGAACAAAACCAAAGACCATACTCAAAAATACGAGCAGAAATGGGAAAAATGGGGGCGGGGGGGGGTGTGTAGTGTAAAGAAATGTTCCAGAGATCGGGAAAGACGAGACTGAAAGGTTTTAAAACAAAAGAGGAAAAAGAAGAGGTAAAAACCAAACGCCCTTCTAGCCCAAAGTCGCCCTTCTCTGCCTTTGGTGACCCAGCAGACTCACAACCAGCCCACTTCGGGATATTCAGCCTTGAGGGAGCTAGTGCCGAAAGAAGCAGCTGAGATGATGTAAGAGAGCTGGAGGCCTGATTGAAGGAAAGTTCCCCCGATTATATTTGTGTGGAAAAGCTCACCTCTTGCAGAGCTCTAAAGTGTAATCAAGACTGAGGCTTACACTTGAAGGATGTTAACTCTCATACGGGAACCTACTTTCTCCTAAACGGTTTCTTGCCTAGTGAATGAGAGCCTCCCAATTGAAGCAAAATGATCCTTATGTACTAATATCAAGCACAGCCACAAAGCGACCGGCTATTTATGCTGCCACTTTAGACAAAGATATTTAGTTATTCCCGGGTAGCAAGTGCACTTTTGCATTTTTAAGCACGAACCAGCCGAGCACAAACATATTTACAAGTGCAATTACTAAATAGTTACTTGACACTTCAAAGTCCCAGGGTTAACTGTACCTTCGCTGTAATTTTCTTAATATTCAGGTAATCGCTGTATTAAATTGTGGTTGCCAGGGCCGTAGGCCGGGGTGTGAAACACTCAGGGGATGTTTCTTTCCTCCACCCGAATCACCCCGAAATATAAGCTTTGGAGACACTAGGCGTTGGAAGATTTCTTCAAAGACCCGAGTGACATTAGCTACTGGCTGCCTGTACGTGTGCGTGTGGCTGTGAATGGATCGCTTTTGTTTTCACACCGGATCCAAGAAGAGATCCGAAAGTGCCAGAAATTGCAGTTTATTGGAAACTACAGGGAATTCATTGGCAAGGTCGCGTAGCAGATGACCGGAGAGGTCTTCTCCATCCAGCTCCCGTGCTGTATAAATAACCTTAGAACGCAGCTTCAGCTTCAGAGGGACCACGAGAGACTGTGAGAGTCTTTGCCTTTGAGAATAACAAGCGACATTTTGCGCTAACCTATTTTTCATCGGTCTCTCGTCCTAGGCAATTAAATTACTGATTGATTTTGCAAACTTGTGTTTTCCACCCCTCTCTGAGATATTAAAAAAAAACAACCCTAACTGAAAGGAATTTGTGGGTTTAGGGAGACAAACCATCCTTGCACTGAATGTCTTAGGAGACACAGAGTGTTCCGGAGATGCGGAACCCCAAGCGCTTGTTCAGCCCCAGCCGGCCGGGGCATCTGACAAGCCAGTGCGGGGAGTGCGGGGCGAGGGGAGCTGTGGCCCGGAGAGAAAGATCTGCCCTCCGAAGAGTTATCCTCCCGCCGGCGGGGCGCCTTCCGGACCAAACTTAGTGGGGGAAGAGGGAGATTCTGTCCTTTGGCTTACTGGCATTCCACCCCGTTTCCCCAGCTCTCACAAAGGCTGGGCTGACAGCCTTGCCACCCGGGAGCTGTTTTTAAATCCTTTCACCCAGTCAAATGGTGGTCTTTTCTGCTTTGCCTTCCATTTCCCGTCCACGATATTGTCACCCCGGGGAAAAAAAAAAAAAAAAAAAAAAAAAAAAAAAAAAAAAAAAAAAAAAAAAAAAGAGTTGCGCTCACGGGGTCTTTCTTTTTTTTTTTTTTTCCCCCCCTTTCCCCCGCCCCCTTGGTCTTTTTTTTTTTTTTTTTTTCCTAAAGACATAAAAAAAATTCTGACAAGTAAGACTTAAAGGTGTTTACCTTGTCATCAGCATGTAAGCTAATTATCTTGGGCAAGATGTAGGCTTCTATTGTCTTGTTGCTTTAGTGCCTATGCCCCGCCTCTGGTGGCAGCCTAAAACCTGGCGTCTGGCTAAAACAAACGAAAGGCAGCCCTGAGCCTCCACTCAATCCAATTAAGGCGGACTTCGTCCACTCGGTTACGTGTACATCCAACAAGATCGGCGTTAAGGCAACACCAGAATATCTGGCAAAAAAAAAAAAAAAAAAAAAAAAAAAAAAAAAAAAAAGTTTTCCCCCCCCTTTCTTTTTTTTTTTTTTTTTTTTTCCCCAGCCGCCGAATCATGTCGATGAGCCCAAAGCATACGACTCCTTTCTCAGTGTCTGACATCTTGAGTCCTTTGGAGGAAAGCTACAAGAAAGTGGGCATGGAGGCCAGTAACTTGGGGGCTCCCCTGTCAGCCTACAGACAGTCTCAGGTTTCTCAGCCGGCCATGCAGCAGCACCCCATGGGCCACAACGGAACAGTGACTGCCGCCTACCATATGACAGCTGCAGGGGTCCCCCAGCTCTCCCATGCTACGATGGGGGGCTATTGCAATGGGAACCTGGGCAACATGAGCGAGCTGCCGCCTTACCAGGACACCATGAGGAACAGCGCTTCGGCGACAGGATGGTACGGCACCAACCCGGATCCCCGCTTTTCCTCAAGTAAGTCAGCTCGGGGCTGGGTGGCCGAAGGGGGCTTGCCGCGCAACTGCCCCGACACACCGGGGGCAGAAGGCACGGGGGGTCCGCGACAGGGCAAAAGTCGGTCTCAAACCCAGCCGCGCACCCCCCCAAACCCCAAATTCCCTCTCCTGCTCGAGGATCGTACCCGGTCTTTCCACGCCGGCCGGTAGCACGTCAGCCTCCCGCGGCTGCCTTTGCGGGGCAAAGGGGTTGGAAGCCCGGCTGCGGCGGGGAGCGGGAGCCTGGCTCTCGCCGTCCAGCGGGGCGGGAGCGTCGCGGCACGGGGGCCCAAAGGGAGCCGGGGGTGCCCGTCCGCCTGCGCGCCGCCCGGCACCGGGCGGGCGAGGGGGAAGCCGGAGGCGCCGGGTCCGCGTCCCGGGAAGCGGCAGGGGAGCGGCAGTCCTCTTCGGCCGGCGCCGGCGGAGCCGCTGTCCGCGGCTGCTGCCGCCGCGGCTGTCACTTTAGTACTTTCCCGGCTGTGCCCCCGGGCAGGACGAGGGGTGAGTGGTCGCCCTTATTCACCGGGGCTGGGCCGGGCGAGAAGGGGGCCACCGCTCGCCCCAGGGACCCGAGTCGCTGTTTAGAAGCGCGGGTGGCCCGAGGCCGGGGCTGGGCTGCCGGGGGGCTGCGGAGCTCCGCTGGGGGCAGGCGGCGGCGGGGGCTGCCGGAGCGCGGGGCCCCACTCGGGCCGGGCCGGGCCAAGCCGAGCCGCCTAAAACGTGCCGCCTTCTCCCTTGCAGTCTCCCGCTTCATGGCGCCGTCCTCGGGCATGAACATGGGAGGCATGGGCAGCCTCGGCTCCCTGGGAGACGTGAGCAAGAGCATGGCCCCGCTCCAGAGCACGCCGCGGAGGAAACGGAGGGTCCTTTTTTCGCAGGCCCAGGTTTACGAGCTGGAGAGACGTTTCAAGCAACAAAAATACCTCTCCGCCCCGGAGAGGGAACATTTAGCCAGCATGATACATCTCACCCCGACTCAGGTCAAAATCTGGTTCCAGAATCACCGCTACAAGATGAAACGCCAGGCCAAAGACAAGGCTGCGCAGCAGCAGATGCAACAGGAGAACGGCTCCTGCCAGCAGCAGCAGTCTCCCAGAAGGGTGGCAGTGCCAGTGCTTGTGAAGGATGGCAAGCCCTGCCAAGCAGGCTCCAACACACCCACAGCAGCTATCCAGAGCCATCAGCAGCAGGCAGCTACAACGATCACAGTGGCTACCAATGGCAACAGCCTCGGACAGCATCAGAGCCACCAGACAAACAGTGCGGGGCAGTCTCCAGACATGGGACAGCACTCGGCCAGCCCTTCCTCTCTGCAGAGCCAAGTCTCCAGTTTGTCTCACCTAAACTCTTCTACTTCTGACTATGGCACTGCCATGTCTTGCTCCACCTTGCTATACGGTAGGACCTGGTAAAAGGATTAAACAGAGAAAAAGGAAAAAAAAAAAGGCAAAAAGAAAAAAGAGAAAAAACCCCAACACATTTTCCCAGTTACACAAATCTCTGTCCTCTCCAAACTACTGTGTGCTTTTTTTCTTCTTTTTTGTTTTCTTTTTTTTTGTTTGTTTGTTTCTTTTTTTTTTTTTAATTTTCTTTTTATTGCTCTTCTCCCTTTCCCCCGTTTTACTGAGTGGTCTCTGCGGACCTCTAAGAAAGAGAGACACTTTTTTTGTTCCATTTTATTGTTACTGTTGATGGTTTTGGGTCTTTATGTTTTTTCTCCCCCAAAGTTGTCCTATGGGGTGTATAAAAATATTCAGACTAATAACCATGGAGCAGTCTGCAGAAAGGGGACCATCTTTAGACATGGTCTGAAGACTTGGATATCAGATGTACACTTTGCCAGCGTCTAGGACTTGCATGTAAATACAGAGATTTTGGGGGATGGGGTGGTTTTCCCCCAAAAAAACGCATTCGCGTCACCCAGACACAAGAAGCAGCTTCCCCCTCCCCGGTCTCTCCCAGCCCACCGCCAGGGCCAGCGGATGGAGACGTGGAGTCATCAAAGGCTTGGCTTTTATTTTCCTCCTTACGTTTGATGTGAACCTGTAGCTGTATAATGCTGTCAAAAGTTGGACTAAACCCATAGTTTTTAGTAGCCTGTATATTTTGTTGTAAAAAGAAAAGGAAAAAAATACAATCAACCAAACCAACCCCCACCTTTTTTATGGACACTGATCACGCCGTCGTAAATCCTCCGGCAGTTTGTTATTTGCGCACGCCGCCTTTTCCTGTTGTAACTTATGTAGATATTTGGCTTAAATATAGTTCCTAAGAAGCTTCTAATAAATTATACACATTACGAATATTCTTTTTTTTTTTTTTTTTTAATTTCCCCCTTTGGTTTCTTCTCCCGACGCTCCTTTCCTTACATCTTTCTCCTTTTTTTTTCCCCTTCCTCCCCCCCCCCCCCACTGCCTCGCTTTTCCCTCGCTNCCCCCCTTTTTTTTCCTTCTTGGTGGAAAAACAACCCGGGATGTTGTCAGACCCCGGAAGGCCCCTGCCCCTCCCGGGGCCCAGACCCTATTCCCAAAGCAGAGCTGCGCCAGAGGGTTAACGGGATTCAGGATCAATCCTCAGCGTGCAAACAGGGCAAGCAAACGCGTGGGATTCACGAACTCGAGACCGAAGGAATCGAGTCCAAATTCATTAGCCCGATTATTTTTTGGGGGATGAGGGTGGGGGCGGGGGGCGCCTCAGCGATTTCTTGCTAGAGAAAGCAAAGTATTCCGGGACTAGAAATTCAAATGCCAAAGGCACGGAGGAGAAAGAAGGTAAAAGTCCAACGCCATTAGAAAAAAAATAAAATAGCGAAGAACTTGCTGTCAGTATAGAACGTGAGTCCTGTTTAAAGTGTCCAGTTTTAATACCTTGTAAAGGGGGGAAAAAAAAAAAAAAGAAAATTTCTATCAGGTTTTCCTATGTACTTGTATTTTAAGGGAAGTACAGTCACCTTATTTATAATCAAAATAAAAAGATAGTTTATTGTGTACAACATGTAGTTTGAATTAACTTTCTTTACCAGGCTGTGTTTAATATTTAATTTTCTACATATTTATTTAATTTTCTACATATCCAACCCGGCACGCCCGCACACGGCCACGCAGGTTCGCCTGCACAGCCCACCCCACTACTCAGGCGGAGGTCAGCCGCAGGCTGCGGCTCGGTGGAACACGCACCGGGCTTCGACTGGATGGATTGGGCACTGTTTTTCGTGTCGCATTGTTTTTCTAAGGGAGGAGTTTGTTAGTTTGCTTGTTTGTTTGTTGAGAGTTATTTGGTGCAGCCATTTGGGAAGTTTGGAAAGAGGGAAATGAGGAGAAAGTGCGTGCGCGCACGTGGGTGGGTGCGCATAGGTGAGCGCCGGGCTTAGACACAGAGCGTAAATATTATCGGTAATGCAAGGCGGCCAGACAGTAACTTTTCTGTAAATATATAAAGTATATGAAGCTAAACAGCTCGTATCTGACGAGTTCGAAATCCCTGTAATTCTCTATTTTTCAGGTCCCCAATATCCCTTTTGTGACTGTAGCAAATTAAGAAGTATACCCCTTCTAAAAGACCTCGTAGCGTTGTTTTCCTTTGCATCTGATGCTCGGTTTAGTTCTTTTATTTCCAAATCCATGGAAAGCGACCACAGTGATTGAAACACCTCTGAATCACAGAGGTGTTGCGAAATAATCATATTTTTGAAGTGAAAGAAAACAGGTTGCCTGGGATGGAAACAACCCAACTTCCAATTTAAGTAGCAGCTTTTGAAAGCTCCAGTTCTTTATTTATACAAGATAGCCAGAGTTAGTCGGACACCGAGTGCTAGTCTGGATGGAGAAAAAGGGAAGTACACGGAAGAAAAAAAAGTATCGGATTCTTTCTGACCCCCTCCCCCTTATTTCTAACTGGAGGACATCACGTGTGTCAACAGGAATTTCGAGACCTTTCATTCTTTAGATTATGTCCTGATTTATACAGCGACATTTTTAACTAACGCAAAGATTATTCAAAATTTTTTTTGTTCTTCTTCTGCGCAGAATATTCATTTCAGATCTATAGCATCGTGTTAAGCATGGCGGGGGGATGGGTGGGGGGGCGGCAGAGTGTCTGGAGCTTAGTGCTGTTATTTCTGCTAAGAGAAGAAAATGTTGGGGATTCCTAGTCCGTGGTGCAGAGCTGCCAGCTTCCGCGGAAGAAGCGAGAGCAGGGTTAACTTTAAGGATTTTTTCAAAATTAGGGTTAGTTTCTCCCGGAGTTTATAAGCAAGACAGAGGGGAAAGTGCTCCGGTTAAGTCGACATTTCCCCTTCATACGTAATTAATGTGCGTTCTTTCAAACCTAGGAACGTTCAATAGTGAGGAGCACCGAAAGGCATTAATACAATCGAGAAATATTACAGCCCCCGCCCCCGAATATTGGAGTTAGCATGTTTGATAGAGATCCAGTCAGTCACTTTTCATTATAGACTTCGGGAGAAATAAAGTAATTGTATTGTGTCTCGACAGCCTCATAAACACATATTTGGTGGTGGGTGTAATTACTGTAATGGATTATTATGTACACTGACTTATCTTTCTTAAACTAGATTTAGTTTCGATTAAATAAACTCGTTTCCACTTTGTCTGATGTCGGCTTAGTTTAAAGTCTGTTTACTTGTTCCACAGAAAGGTGAATTCATCTCTTTATTAAGCACTAGAGACCGAGCAAACACAGTTCAAACTGTATTTACATATCAATCAGGAGAAATGCAAACAAACTGCTCTTTAACAATTTTTAATAGAGTTTTCTATGACATTGTGATACTGCCTTTTATCATATATATTTTTTTTAGTAAACTAGTTATGCCTTGATTAGGATGAAGATATTTGAAGGGAGGGGTGTAAATACAGTTTAGTCTCCAGTCTCTTTTGAGAACACTCATGAGAACTTAGTTACTGTATAGCTTTTTAAAATTGAAATTAAAATATGTTCCTCCGTCTAAAGTCCTGCTTCTTCCAATATGCTGGTTTCCAGTCTCCCGGTAATCAATGCAGCACTTGGATAATGGGATGGCAAAGGGGAGGGGCAGCATGATTCAAATCTGAAATGATGGAAGAGATGCACGTTTCCCAATATAACTGCTTTATCCACGCTAGACCATGGGCACCCCGTATTTTAAGAGATAAAAAGATCTAGTGAAGAATGGCTATTCCCTCCCACTCCCCCACTGCCTGGCACTGCTAGTAAGCGTAGGAGAATCACGGAGGGCATTTTTTTCCCTGCTGTAAATAGGAATTCATTCTTAAGTTCCATGAAGTGTGCGTGAAGTGGCACAGCAGGCTGTGGGAAAAAAAAAATTAAAAAAAAAAAATAAAAAGAAAAAAAAAAAACCCAACAACAATAAAAACAACAAAAACAATCCCAAAGTAAACCCCAAACGAAACGCAAACCAAAAACAAAACAAAACAAACAAAAAAAAACCAGTCCCAAACCCTAACAAAACCACATCACTACAACGGCCACAACAGCAACAACAGCAAAAGTCTTTTTCCTATGGGCTGCTTCATATCAAAACGGGCTGCGGGTTACTGGGTTTTTTGTTTGTTTCACAGCAGTCTGTTAGCAAAAGGGACGCTCGGGAGGAAGGCTGGGGGGAGCCGGGGGCGGCAGGCCTCGCCCCGGGCTCTGCTGCGGCGCCGGCAGCGGCGGACGGGCGCGGCGCGGTGTCACGGTACCCACGGAGCGGCAGGGGATGACGAGCTGATCTAAAAGTACATTGCCTGCATCTCGGTTCAAAAGGCACTGCAGGGCCTTAAGACGGTGTTGAAAGTGCAGCTCCCAAACAATGTAATCTGAGACAGCCCTGAGATGACACCAGGAGAAGTTGCCACGGCTGGGAGGGGAGGGAAAATAAGTATTTTTGGAGTTTTGTAGCGAGCGCAGCGCAGGTAAGGGGGCCTCGCCGGGAAGGCAGCCTCTGATCAACTTTTCGTGACAGCTACCTTTAGCCTTTACAAAGGGGATCTAGAGTTAAAGACTGAGTGACTTCTGAAGAATTTAAGTCCTTTCATAGCCGTGTCGGGAGCAAAGCTGAGAATTTTTTTCTGTGTCTGACCCGCTGTTCCTCTCATGATCCCCGTCAGGGGGGAAAAAGCCCCTCAAAACTCTAAGTTAATGATAATACTGTTCATGTGTATCAAATGTGTACAGACATCTGACCCAGTGCGGCTGCTCCTATGAGGTAGAGAGACGACTGTCCCTGGCAAAATGGTGAATAATATGAAATTACTTTTCTTCCCCCCCCCCCCCCCCCCCCTTTCCTAGCTGCAAGCACATTAGGGAGCAGGTAAGGTCAAAGTTTTCTATATCCTATGTCTTTGTCTCAAAGGCTTCTGGTCAGCTTTATAAATAAGATGATGTTTAAGATGTATTGATGTTAAAAGAAACTGAAATTCGTTTTGCAGCTCAAAACAACTTCTGTGCAAAACAACTTATGGCACAGAAAAATTCTTGGGAAACCTATAAATGAAAACGTAAAATAAGACATTTAATCTTCGATGTAAAGGCTTTTGTTAGAGGGAGGGCGAAGAGGGAAATAGGCTTTTTTTTTTTTTTTTTTTTTTTTTTTTTACCATGACACAGATTGAGAAGGAAAAACATTTACAAATGGCCGAATGCATTATTTCCGAAAGACGGTATTTTACTGTCCTGAGCTATCGTATAGAAACGGAAAAATGTTGAAAATGTATATTCTAAAAATATTTACCAAGATACTTAAGTCTGTTTTTACTGGCTGGCTCTATATATCATGCTAACAACTATATCTGAAAGAGATGACAACTTTTTCTCAATAATATTTCTATTCACTAAACACAGCGGGACTTTCGGAGTAATTTTAAACTACTTTGTAGGTTGTGCTTCTTTAGCAAGTGAATTGACATGGCAGGTTTTAGTGATCGTACATGACTTATTGAATTGATTAAATGAGAACTCCCCATATCATTCCGAGTAGCGCTTCATCAATACAGGGGCTCCTTAAAGTGTAAGGAGTAAAGGAAAAGAATAGAGCGTGTTTCACGAGGTGGGTTGATTTGCGGAGTTTTGGGGGAGGAAAGGGGGTTTTGTTTGTTTGGGTTTGTGATTGCGGGTTTTTTC